ATTCTTTGTACAAGTGTTATGATATGTAAAATAAGCTGTCATCTCGAGTCAAAGGTGACAGCTGTCATTTCTTTGCTCTATAGTATTTTGATTCTTTATACAAGTGTTATGATATGAAAAATAAGAATATTTCGATTAAGAACCAACGATTTTATGTATTTTTTTGTTTGGATCTGTACCAAAAAAAATGCGGTGGATGCGCCGGGCGGGCGCACAATGAAATCACCCGATACAATTATAGAAACTGATCGATCGATCTATCGATCGATCGATTCTGCACTTACTCGTATAAAAAAATAGACCATAAAAAATATGTTGAAGGCAAGGTCGATCTGTTGCGTGATGTTGTTGCTCCATTCCTGGCACCGCTCCACGCCGTCACTACAACAATAGAGAAACAAAACAGAAAAAAAAAATATCAAAAAAAACAAAACAAAATCATCATCAGCTTCCTATTTCTTTTCGCACATACACACACAGAAATATAAACGTAGAGATGAAGGAAACCAAACATGTAGATTTGGTGCTTTCATCTTTGTGGTTGGAAGGAAACAAAAGACGAGGTCCCGACACGTAATTAAAAGAAGAACAACTTGATCCTCAACAATTGCCAAAAGACATAATAGAACAATCACCTTTTCTTTAAGACTTTAAGGAAATTAATTAAGACAAGACATGAAGATTATTACGTAAAACATTGAACAGTCCATCAACAGTCTGAACAAACATTTTACATACATACCATCGTTGATTATTGCCTTGTACCTCGCAATGCATTGTCCTAATAATCAATAAAATTGTATAATTATAATCTTAATTGGAAACATTTACTTGATAGAGAAACGGACTTGTTTTAATGCAATGTAATTATTTCTAAATTAGTGAACGTAACTGTAATTGATTGAAAGGCAACAATCGCTAATTACACGCTGTTAAGATTCTATTAATACGTGTCCTATATTTAGTATACTAATTGCGTGTAGCTTCGATTAATTGGGAAAGGGAACGTTTGCATTAATATTGAGGGCTTTATTAAATTGCGTATGGATTTCGCATTGAATTTCACAAATTCGAACAGCTAAATTTAGACTTAATTGCTGTTCGGATTGTGTATCGAATTTTCTTTAATTATCAAGTAATTTGTAAGAAAATAACTTAAATTGAACTTTATGATAATTAATAATCATTTTATTGTAAAAATGTAAATATTTTTGTTGAAGTCATGATTTTATCACTGCTGGCTCTTTGGGTTTCTTCACAGTCGACTATAATTAAAATGTCAAAACTGCATTAATAGTTTAGTATAATAGTTAATTATAACAAACATTCATTTCGAAATGTTTTTCATTATAATAATTTGTTATTATTTTGTTTGATGGATTATTGTGTAGTAATCGGGAATCTTTTCTTGGTCGTGTTAATAAGCGATTACTGAGAAACCCTTCAGTTGTGTAATATAGATGTCCAAGGGATTATAGACGAAGGGTGGATTAAGGTCAATTTGGTAAAGTAGTCAAGAAGAAAATTTGAACTAGATTCATGAGAGAGAGAAAAAAAGATTTAGAAGAAATTCTACGAAATGTTGATCAAAATTAATGTATTTTCATTATTTCTACTATTTGGTTCATAAATAACAAAAAATATTGATGATTGAAAATCTTTGACGAATAAAAGAACAAGAATTTTATTGAATATAATTATTTTTGTGAAAAAAATGCAACTAAAACTAATTGATTAAATCTGAAATTATGAAACAAATCAATTGAGTAAATGAACAGTTAAGTGTATTATATAATAAAATAAGCGTTGGTGTATTTCCTCTTTGTACTTTTTTCTCCTCTCTCGTTCGATGTAATCGATGAAACGAATAAAAACAGCGAAAGGTGTCGGACATGAATTAATTGCAGCGGTAGAAATAATTGGATAACCGTGTTTTCTGGCAAATGAGTCGTTCCAGTTTTTCTTTCTTTCTCTCTTCACATTTCTATATGTTCTTTTCGCCTATTTTCTTTCCAGTTTCGGGCCAAAAACTATTGCCCTCCAAACTTTATCCGTTCATCCTGATTGCTTCCAGCCGGGACCTCCAGTTTATCACGGATAAATCGTGCAATTTCTGCTGGCAAATTGTCAAAACCCTGACTCTTCCACCCTGTTATTTACGCCGATACGAAATGCGTCCCATTTCCCTTCTTTAATCTGTTTTTAATCACTTTCGCATCGATTTTTGTTAATAAACTATTCATTCTCAATTATACAAGTACTTTGTTGTTTCGCTAACACAATTTGTATATCGATTTTCATTCATTAACTATTCATTATGAATTATACAAATATTTTAGTTATCGCAATAAAATACGTTCATTATTCTACTAAATTATTAGAAGAGAACGAATAAATTTAGTTAATAAATTAAAAAATAAGTTTACTTACTTTGAAGCATCGATGAAATATATTATCAGGGAGGCGATACTTAAAATAAAGACGAGGACAACCTGAAACAAGAAAAAAAAACAAAAAATTATAATTTTTTTGTATGATTAAGAAAATCTGTGGATAAAAATTATATAATTCTATTGAAACATTTCGATTTATATCGAAAATATTTTATTTGCTTCTCAAATTCATAAAATAATTTCAATTTTTTGTTTAGAAAATTTCAATCAATTTGTAAGAAAATTGTAATGAAATGAGAAAATGCTTAAAATAGAATGTGTATGCTTTGTTGTATTCATGTTGTTGGCATACTTTTTTATTATTATTTGACGAGTTTGTATGGAAATGTACAATTTATTGAAAGCAATTCAATGTATTATTTACGCATTGTTAATAATAAGTAACAAAGTGCACAAAGCGTCAAGAATGTTTATATGAATATTTCTTATGCATTTTTTTTGTTTGTGATGATATTTTTAGTGGAAGTTAACGTGAAGATCGATCGTCGCCAATATTTAATTTCCATAAATGTGTTTGCTGAGGAAAGTGCAAAGGTTGGTGAAGTCGAAGTAGATGGATGGAAATTATGCAAAAACAGCGTCAACATGTTTACCCCTTTATTTTATCGAAGACTTGAGTGAAAAATAACACGAATCTCTTGAAGAATGTTGATGACTGCGCACTACATTCAATCGCACTTGACTTTTGACTATCGATAATCAAACTTTGATTACTAATTGTTATTGTCTGGAATCCAATTTGTTGGAAACTGAATCATTCACATCGTCTGCTCCGATTCGTGTGGAAAACAGGAAGGAAGTCGATGCTTATTAATTGCTGTTTCCTACGCGATCGATGCATTTCTTTTTCAGGTTTAAATTGGAGTCAACGAAGGAAAATTGCTCTTTCAGAAGCGAAGCCGATAGCTTTGATGTACCTTTACATACTGTGTAAAAAAAAGAAACAAAGAGTCACGGCTCTTGATACGTAGTCTTTTTTCGGTTCAGGGCAAAAAAAAGTGTGTTTCTTCTCTTAATAGGAAAGGGATAACACGCCTAGGGCTTGCGACAAAGGTTTTCCGAAGTGCGAGGATTTTCTGCTTCGCTCTTAACGTACTCTCTTATTATTATTATTTTTTTAGCTTTTCTTTTCCTGTTCGTTGTCTTGAACTTCTTATATTCGATGGAAGAAAAGTATTACTACTTATGTACGTGGCGGAACGGTGAATGGGCGAAAGAGGAGCCCTCTCTAAACGCTGCAGGATACTGGGTCAGGAGTGTATTGATCCTCGACCCATATCCTGGCGCCACCGCTGCTCCTGCTGGTGCTGCTCTTCTCCCGCTTTCAAAAGCCATTCATAACTCTCGTCAAAGTTTCCTCCTCACGATCATCATCATCATATTCCTTCTCTGTCTCCTTTTTTTTTTCTTTTATTCTTTCCATCAGCCGAGTGCATTTTACTTAATGACAATATCCCAAACTGAGTGAAATATTACTTACAATCATCTGGAAAGCCCAGAAAATCTTAATCCTGCATTTAAAATGCTTTAGTTCATCTTTGCTTTCTTGACAATTTCGACGCAATATTTATTTCATTAACATCTGCAGATTTTAGTAGTTCATTCGATTATTATTGCTGATAAATGACATAAAATAATTATAAAATGTTGAATAAATTCAATAAGGAAATAATGAACTGTGAAATGTGTGCGAAGAATTCCAATTGAGTGTGAAATGTGAATGGAAAAGTAAAACGAAAAAGTGAACAAAAATAGAAAATTATAACTTTTTATAACATTTTACTATTATTTAGTTTTTAAAGTTCAACTGTATACATTCTTTATGGAAGGAAGATGTTGGCAGCTGCAGGATATTCATCAAATTGATTTAAAAGAAACAGAAACAAATTTTGATTTTTTTTTTGAAGTTTAATTTAGAAGAATAAATTTAGTTTTTTTTTTCTGTTAAATTGCACGAAAAATGCATTTTCTATCTTAAAAAACATACGTGGTTTCATAATTAGTTTGGAAATTTAATTTACTGCAAACTATGATTACAAATATAATTGTAAAAAAAAACTAGATGAAATACATACAATTTAGATACATAAGATATTAGGTTTTTCAAAGAAAATTCTTTAATTTCTTCAATGAAATAAATATTATAAAATAATCAATCACAGCTGCAATTTGATTGCATTTCTTATCATTATTACTATTATGGTTTTTTTTTGTTGTTGAAAAAATGAATTCATTTAGATTTATTTGGAATTTCTTTCTGTTTTTAAATTTAAATAATATTTCAACCTGAATGAATTGTTACATTTTATTCATAATAAATATAAATAAATGCATTTCCAGCTGAAAAATTGATAATAGAAATTTGTACAGGTTTGAAAATCGAACTTAATTTAGAATATATTTTTTGAGATGATTTTGCACAAAATGTTACCATATAATTTCCTTAAAGTAATTAATTGATAAAGAGTTGTTTTTGACTTTTTCGATATTAATTTATTGTTGTTCTTCAATATCAAGTGTATTTGATAGATTTCTGTTGAATTTGTTGTTGAGAAATCATTAGAAAATTTAAAGAAAAAAAGATAGATTTAAAGTAATTGCAACGTTAATAATTGATGGAGAGTAGTTTTTAAATTCTTTGGAAACTAGTTATTGATTTCTAACTTTTTCTTCAAATGAAATTTGTATGTTAATTTACAATACATTCTAGAATTATAGTAAAAATAATAAAAATTAGTTTCATTACATGAAATGATTAAAAAATATGTGTAATTATTATAAAACAGGGTACTCGATTACAACGTCATCTTTTGGTGTTATTAATGATATTAAACGATAGATTAACAACTTTGGCATGTATTAATCTTTACAAATCATAGAATGAACAGGATACGTTGACCCGCTTCAATCCGCATTGTTATGGCAAAATAAACACGATAAAAGATCAATAATAAATCGAGTCCGGGTTTTTGATGGATTCGTCGGCGATGTAATTGAGATATTGTTGGATGCAGCTCAACAACGTACATGTGTGTACATAATAAATGAATGTATAAATAAACAGAGGCGAAAGGCTTCTCTGCTAGATCAATAATCCACAAAGCCGCACATAATTTCTGTTCTGTTTGCGGAATGAGCGAGTGAGTGAGTGAGTGATTCCCTTCGTTAGATGGACGAGCAGGGAACTGCACTAGAATGTCCAGTAATTATAGACAGATCGATGCAACAGAATATGTTTTTTTTTTATTATATATATAGAGAGAAAAAGAGTGAGATTTCTGGTATGAATATGTAACGGTTGCAGGCAGAGATGAAGCGTGTCGGGTATTCGAGAGAAAGATTAGATGTCTCCGAGGTAAATTACAATATGTTGAGCGTGTCGTCGGGGTATAAATACTTTGCGCAACTAATTTTAACCCGCGCGCTATTTTCAGGCACGCTCATATAGGAGGGATGTCACCGACATTCGTAGATTCTCTCCTCTTTCGATGCTTTCGAATCGAATAAAGGCCGTCGTCGTCGCCGCATACCGAAGGAGTCGATGGCGTGAGAGAACCGTAATTGCGACCAATAAATTTCCGACAAACAAAAAAACATATTCATATCCGCGTTCCATTCCCATTGTTCCCAGCCGGCGACGAATCGATCGATCCAACCCCACCGAAAAATAAAGCGCTTACTACGTAATAATCGAACCACCGAATCCTCAAACACGTCTGCAATTAACAACTTTTATATAGTTGGAATCGAAATCCCGACATTCGGAATCCCTACAACTATAATCCCAACAGCATCTTTTATAATTTGATATAGACTTATTCATAACTTAACAAGAAATATTGTTATAATATCTTATTGTTAAAGGTTTATTATGAATGAGTCTATATCAAATTATAAAATATGCTGTCGGGATTATGGTTGTAAGGATGTCGGGATTTTGATTCTGTCAGGATTATAGACGTCAAGATTTCAATTTTATGTTAAATTGATTAGTTAAATTTCGTATTGGTATAAATATAATTAAATGTTGACTTGATATTATAAATCTCTACTGTTTTCTATGCAATTATAATGTGTAGATTTATTTTTGAATCAATATTTCAAAATTATTGCAGTAAAATGAAGAGAATGACGCTACGATTATATCTATTATATATATATATATAAAAACGGTTAAAACTATTTTTGAATCGTTCCTATTTATAAAATTTATGAATCTATTTTTGTACATAAATAGGTTAAAAAGAAAAATAATTTCGGTATCGTCGGTGGAAATTTTTCCATCGACACGATTATTTTATATTTCCTGCATTGCGAAATCATTGTCTAGGCTAATGGGTTTTAATTATCTGCAATGTCCTTGAGTTTTTTTTTCCATGCGTGCACTTAATTTGAAAAAAATTACACTAATTAAATTAAATCATTAAAATTTTGTTAGTTTGTTTCAACATTTTAGATTTTAGCAATGTTTAAAATTTATGTTATATTCGTTAATATAAATCTTTACTGTTTTCTATGTAATTATAATTTGTAGATTTACTTTTGAAGCAATATTTCAAAATATATTGAGTTTAAATAAGTTTTTAATTTTTAAAAAATAAAAAAAAATATCTTTTGTAATTTGATGGTAAATATTGTAATTAATAATAATTAATGTGAAAAAAAAAGTGTATTTACATTTTATTAAATATCTCAAGAACCGCTGATGCTAAAGTTAGTTTCTTATAACCAAATTAAAGCTAAGATTATGAGGAATTAGTAAATTGTATTGGATTTTATACGGTTCTTGTAATGTTTGCTTGATTCTCTATTTAATTTGAGAGAAATAAAGTAACTTTACTTTTTATTAAATTTCTCAAAAACCGCTTCAATCAACTTTATAAAGGTTTGTATGTAATTGAATGGGATTTGTATGAAATTATAAGAAAACAAGAGGAAAGTGTTGGAATTACAAAGAAAATGAAGCAAAGTGAATAAAATACGAAAGAAACTGAATGAAACATATATTAATTATTATATAAAAAAAGTGGAAAGGAAAT